CAAATAAATGTTCCATTAAGTAAATTATATAAAAAAATGGTTGCCTGTAAAGTCGGTTTTACGGGCGAAGATTTTACGTGACAACGTCTTTTTCTCGGTAGAATATTTATTGATATGAATATAATTAAATTGCACAATAGGAACAAGGAATTGAATGAAAATAAGAATTGCACAAATTTTAACTATAGAAATATATTTTGTTTACTAAAACATTGTACATGTAAACTTAAACTTAACACGAGAGACTCATCGTAACGTTACCGAGCGTTACACTTTTTCATAAGTGACTCCCAGCCGCAACCTAATTTAAGACGTTGTCACGTCAAAAACGAACCCAACTCCAAGAAATTTGAAATCGTCTTTCAACTTTTTCCTGATTATATTAAAATCTAGAAAAAGAAATAATAATATGTAATTTTCGTTTTAGAACATCAACCAGGAATACCTACTTACCTAATTAAAATAAAATCAAGGGATTCAAATATTTATTTTGTTTGGCAAGTTAACGCAACACAAACACGTCGCCATTGTGTAATAGAACTAAACTGCGTCTAGAGTGGAAGGACCCGAGGGAAATCTTTTTTGTGGGCCTTCTCGAGTGGGTGTAGGAATTTTTTGTCTGTGTTTGCATACTTGTTCTAAATGCCTCAATAAAGGAGTGGACCAGTTAAGTACCCTTGATCTTTGAACATAATTTAGTATCTACCTACCCAGTTATAACGTCACATTTTGTGATGTCTACTAAAATAAGAAAATTTTGATTTTTTTTTAATTATTAGCTGGAATATAATATATGAAAGAAAATGAAAAAATAACCATTCTAGTCTTGGACTTGCGGGGTTGCAAGTTTGTCCTTTATTACTTATCTAAGTTCATTTAGTTTCATCCTGCTTTTGCCAAACAAACAAAAAGTAAAATTATGAACAGTTAACACACAATTACACAGCAAAAATGATCTTGTGCATAATTAGAGCATGCTTTAAGTGTGCATATTGTAGTATGCACAGCCAATGTTTTTCATTGGGCGTTTTAAAACTTTTTTTATACCAACCCCACTTGTCTGGGTACACGTGCTACGGGTTTTTTTTATACTCATAATGAACCGTATGCTCGGAAACAGCCCTGCCCAGGATATCCGTTCGAAAATAAAAGAGCTACCCCACACCTTTGAGCTATATTAAGCTGCTATTTTAATACTTATACGTAACTACTAAGAATTATGAAATGTCCATAATTTGCTGATATATATTTTTAGTAAGTACTTACCTTACTCTAACAAAATTGTTAGTGACGTACTGTATTATTAATTTGCTATAGCTAACGAAGCACAGAAAGTGTTGTTTCACACGTACCATGCATGACCAATCATACCGTTGCGAGTCGCGAAATTTAAAATGTGTTTTTTTTATACTGTACCTATATGTGTTTTCTGTTTGCAGGTTTGGTGCGCTGCGATTTGATACAGCAAAACCTGTGTTCATTACTTAATTCGTATTCGTATATTATTTTTTCGGATATAAAAATCCTAGGGATTTCGCGAAAACGCGGATATAAAATTATATATGATAATTAAATTATAGTAATAGAATAGTTAGTTTTATGTTTCTATATTTGTATGTTCCATTGAACTGCTTTAGTGTTCCAAAGACTCCCTTAATGAATTTGAGCATTGCTATTAGTCGCGGCTGACCGTTATTGCGCAGAAGTAAAAATTAAGATGTCTTGGGGGGAACGAGGTGCGCGGGTGGGCGTGCGTTGCGCCGATTGGCTTTCGAGTCATATCCATGCGCAGCTACCCCCACCGCGTTTGTTCAGCGCTAGAGTTACGTGCCGCGACCTGTACTCGCGTTCTCTCATTGGCGGCACTTTCTATCACATTACATGAATCTATTTTGTGAAATTCGCAGCACGAAATATGTTCCTGTTTGATTCGTGGATACCTATCATACTCGAACAGTAGTGGGCGATCAATGCTCCGAATTGCCCCGCTATTGCAAGACAAGAGAGGTAGTTATCGTCATCTATGATTTAAAATCTACACAGATACTGCCGGTGGTACCCATGTCCTAGCGAGGACTTGAGACAGCCATAACGAAGAGCCACAGTATTATTAATTTTATAACGTCATCCATCTCAGGACACGTCCTCCTTGTATGTTCTGCGATACCGACAGTATCCTTGTATATTTCTGCCCTTTTGATTTGGTGTTTAACGTAGCTCAGGGGGAACATTGCGAAATTGTATTTGCTGTGCAGCATTGCAACTGCTTTTGCAGCGCAATAGGCCTCCTCGTTTCCCCTGATGCTAACGTACTCTTTGGCCCAGATGAAAGAAATAGTTTTATTTGCTATTTGGTGCATCACTTATAGTTTTGTGTATCTGAGCTACTTCTTGAAGTTTGTGTTGCTGCGGTCAGCTAGCGCCTGTAGGGAGGACATGCTATCACTTAAGATGGCGTATGAGCTCGACCGGGAGCCCATCGCCCAGTCACAGGCTCGCTTGAAATACTGTATACGTGAAGTGTATCTTCAATTTTCAAGAGGTTTAGGGGTGTTTATGTTCCGGATAGTATGCGGCGAAAGCTGTTCCTACTTCTCCGGTGTCAAGTTTGCTTCCGTCGGTATACACTCGGGTGGATTCTGGAGTGCACATGCGTTCGATCTCAAGCCGCTAACTTTTTGGACATTAATTGCATGTCCATCAATGCTTTTCCGAACAAGTATCTTAGTGGCGTTTTAATAAAGCAGTAGTGGATCACTAAATAGCTCGGCCATTATCACTTCCATCTGTCAAACGCAGTTAGCGAATAGCCCACTGGTCATTGGTGGCAATTTTGAATCCAACTGTTAATTGTATCGCTGCGGCTTTTTGCGATTGCGTTGTGGTAAGTACTACAACTGAGGAGCTCGATGGCGCCGTTAGTTAGCACATTCAACCCACGATCGTGAAAGTTAAGCCACCTTTGCAATGGTTGGTCATTGGATGGGTGACCAAAATCCTATTATCTATAGCTCCTCCGTGCTTCGGAAGGCACGTTAAGCCGTGGGTCCCGGCTGAAACTGCAGTCACTGGCACCCACCATGCGTATGCGTACCAAATTACATCCAAATCCGTTCATTAGTTGATGCATTAATAAGTAACAAACATACAAGCACACAAACATAAACAAACAAACATACAAGCACACAAACATACAAACTTTTTCATACTAACTAATATTTTAAGTGCGAAAGAATGTTTGTTTGTTACTCAATCACGCAAAAAGTACTGAACGAATTTGGATGAAACTTTTAACTACGCATATAAGTTTATGACCTGGATTGAGACATAGGATACTTTTTACCCCAGAAAAATGTTAGATTCCTGTGGGATTCCCAAAAACTAAAGTTAACTTGGACAAAGTCGCGGGCGGCCGCTAGTTAACAACATAAATGGATTAGGTACCTAGTAGGAATACGAATTCGACGCTGTAGGTCGATCCGATCAGTCAAGGTCGTATTAATGATGGTGTGATTTATTTCCTGGAATCTCCTTAGTAGGAAAAGTTTATGCAAGTCCTTTACTTGACTTGAGATTGTCATGCACTGCAGGTACCTCCATAGCCATACCTACTTGAGATGTGAAGATCACAGAACACAGAAATAGGTGAAGATTTAGCTAGCTGGTTATTTCCAAATTCCAAGCAACGAATTAGAAAAAATCGTTGTTATTTCAAGATCTAGTGTTAAAATCCGCAGTAAATCGATGGGATTGTATGGTGGACGTAAAGGGTAACATTAATGATCTGTTGACTATGATCTCCCTCTAAGGTTTTATAAATTATAAGCCTGTTGTTCGATATATAGTTAAATGTGAGTTTAGTTAAAATAGGTTAAATTAGTAAAATTACCTAGCCATTTGTAAAACTTTTACACATTTTAGTATTTATTGAAGTGACATTGACTAATAGTCACATTAAGGGAATGCCGATCCCGCAGGACACTTAATGTCAATGCAGGTATTTGCGGGATTAAAACATCTTAATCGCGCTGCTGGATTCAGGAATTTGCGGGATCCAACAGGGTAGATTTAAATTTTTTAATTCAATTGCAATAAAGACCTAATAGACCTCTTTTTCATGGTCTTTACTGTGCTACATTTAATATATAATAATAAATATATTTTATCAAAATAGTCTAGCCTCAAAGTTAGCACTGTAGGCTTGTGTTATGGGTTGTGTTATGGTGGGTAAAGTATTTATATGGAAATACATATTGAACATCCATGATTGGAGTACAAATGTTCAAATATTCATCAAACATACATCTGCCCCCACCGGGATTCGAACCCCGGACCTCTGGAGTAAGCGACACCTTGAAACCCGGCGTACATACCACTCGGCCACGGAGGTAGTCGTTAATAGGTAGGTATTAATAGCTAAGTATAGTATTAAATTGAAATATTTAACAAGGTCAAAGGTACTAAGGCTTTATAACAATCCTATTACCAATAGTACTTATATGTTTAGCCTCACCGAACAAAACCGAAGCAAATCGCTAAGTGGCCTTAGCAATAACATGACCAGCCATAGATTCTCATAGGATTAACATTAAGGAAAAAGTTTGCCTATCCCTGGTTTAGTCTAGACACTACTAGAGTTTGCCTATGCTCAACCAACTAATAACTTATTTACACAATAAAACTATTAACACTATTAATTATTACTATTTTTATCAGTACCAGCCAAAATAGTTTATGATGGAGAAAAAAAATCCCTACGCTAATACGCTACGCTACTATAGTCACTGTCGTCTACCTCATTCATTCATTGAATCACCTCTTACATGAGCGAGCGAGTCTGTGACTAACTGTCTCGTTCGCTCCTTTTCGTGCAGTCGATTCTAGTCGATTCTGCTCTCCATCCGTTCATTCAATAAATCAGTCGTTCGCTCGCTGTTCGCTCTCTCTCGCTTGCTCGCCGGCCGGTCAGTTTAGCGCGGGCCCTGTATGGAGCGAACGTTGCTCTGCGCATGCGTGTGAAACACTACGGACTGTCAAATTTCGAACGAACGAACGTAAATAAAAACAAGTGACTTAATTTGTGCCAAACCGCTTTTTGTTTTTAATAGACTTTATCGTATTAAATTAAGAAGTGACTCAAAAATTATTGGCTTGTGATAATTTTGTGCAACAAATTTCCCAGTGAGTATCAGTCTCTGTATTTTGTTTTGTATTTTTTCGCATGCCTCGCCCGGCGTCGGACTCTGATTTTATCCAACAGGATCCTTGATTGTTTTTCTTTAGATCCTTATTAACTGCACGATGATGGCTATCGTTTTGAGATTTTTTCTATATATGTAGACTAATAATAAGATAGAAGTTAAATTATACTTTAGTTTTTCAGGTTCTGTTTAAAAGTAGGTAGGAGAATTATTACACTGTTTTGGATTAGGATATATATTAAACTCATTTATGTTTAAAATTAGTGTCTAACTTACATAAGTCTCATTCATTGTATGCCCTAGTTTTATGCATTTAAAAATGTACTTACCTAACATTGCGAGGGGTCATTGACTTTAGACGTTTCGTTCATGAAGGATTCTCAAGCGTTTTCTGTACATTTATTTTGTTTTGGTCATTGTAGCCAATTATTTACCTTTCCAATATTTTGCATAGAACTTAAATACACATTTAGATGTCAAGGGATTTTTGGAGTCCAAATGCAATAGAAAACTAAAAACATTAAGATGTTAGTCCCCTTTGAGCCAAGTTCTTATTACCGCATGCTTTGATTGATTCTCAAAGAAAATTGTAACCTTAGTAAAATGCTTACGTAGTAACTATATTCTGGTAAAACATAACGAAAATCTCGTCTCACTATCCAGATAAGTTAAACATTCACTTCCTGCCTGCTAAGCTAGGGTGAACATCAATAAAGAGACTATAGGGATAAACATTTAGTTCGTCCAACAACGCTAATGTCAATACTTACACAGTTTAAAAACATCCCACATTTTATAATCAGTTTTTCATTTGACTGTTTTCTTATTTATTAATGGGTAAGTTGTTAGTGTTGATTTGTTATTTAATGTATAAAGATCATTGAAGGGTTTTTTTTAATGCAAGTATTTTATGCGTATTAAGCTTGTTCGGAGTCTCTTCTTAATCTAATAATCTTAATCCGTGCTTCGGAAGGTACGTTAAGCCGTTGGTCCCGGCTACATCTGCAGTCGTTAGCACCCACCAATCCGCACTGGGCCCGCGTGGTAGGTCCTGGCCTTATCTCCCTATTACATCTATAGGGAAGGCCTGTACCCCAGCAGTGGGGACATTAATAGGCTGATGATGATGATGATGCGTATAAAGCTATATTTATTTCAGAATATAAACCAAATATTGCGGATGTTTGCTTTTAAAGCTCTTTCGAAAAATCTACCTTGTGACATAATAAAACGCAATAGTATTATATTCTATATATTATATTAACGTATATACGTATGTATATGTGGTATGCTCAAAATCATCATAATAATATTATTAAAACATTTATTTAAATAGACAACACTGAAGTTAAAATTAAAAAGAAATAAAATGTATTTAATAGCTCATCACTATTACTAAATTCTATGTATTATTTACATAATATTACTTAAACTAATGCCAATGCTAAGCGCCTCGACCCCTGTTGACAGACATGGTAACCACATAAATATTTTAACTCGTTTTGCATAGATAATCTAGTATGTGACTCACTAATATGGCAGTAGGTAGTGTACGAATGTATTTTATTGCCTTTGGGGAAACACCTTGTTGGGGTATTGACCCACCTTCTTCGATATAATGAGATCAGGAGAGAGTACTTAAAAATATGCCGTAAATAAATGAAGTGGGTAAGATTTAAAAAAAATTGCCAAGACCCTGTACGGATATCGAAACAATTTCATGATCCTAGCAGCTCAGCCAAAAGCAAAGCATTGTAATAAAAATAAAACAGTCAGTTTGACAATCTTTAGTCAGTTGGATAGTATTCATTCCGTTTTGGAAGTGGATTCCGAGTTGTTGTTTTCTTTTTGTGCCGAAGATTTATTTAAGACCCTCTGGACTGATTACCTGTTACTGATACCGCTTCACCTATTGACTTCTGCTTGCTACAATGTACTTCCAATGCACCTAGTTAAATAAAGATGCGAAAAATTGACAGTGACACATTTGAAGTGTCAATCAATTGACATGCGGCCGCCATCATGAAAAGTATGACTAGAATTAGAATATTTCAATCACTTCTTCTTAATCATCTTACATTGGTTTCGAAAAACTCGTGTATTACCTGTAGGGTCACGATTTAACTAAGCTATTTTTAATACCCTGTACACGTGTTGGCATTTTCTCCATACAAAATTAAACATCTTTATACGATGTCAGGATGTTTGTAGCTTAATCACGAAAAAGCGCTTAAGGTAGATAATGTTAGTACAAAGTTGATAATCCTGTATTATTAAGATATGAATTTTTTTAAGGTTAAAATTTTGAGTTGTTGTGACATTTCTTTTTTTTCACATTTCGAAGCATCAAAGTACTTATAACCTCCTTCAAACATAAAATCAGATCAAAGTTCAAACAAACCGTTTCTCAGGATCGGTATGCATTCGGAAGTATGCCGTGGGAGTGGTTGAGGTGCTAATGATAACAAGGATCACTGAGACCACGCTCACTCTGTAAGCGTCTGTTCCTAAAACTACAAGAAAAAAATAAGTACTAATTTAACAACAACAAACTCATGTTTTTAGAAAAAATAAAAGCACAGTAAAATGATTTGCTTTGGTATTTTTGAATTTATAATACTTATTGTGATTCTTAAGAAAATTTTGCCAGAACATGTTTTCTATAGATTTATAAATCTAGCAGTAAAATCCTTAAAATAAAAATATTTTAAACTAGTTAAGATTTAATAGCCTCTCATTATCTGTGAAACAGCTCAATATTCATCACATATTAAGCTGTTTATACTTGAGAAGTTAATTGTCTCCAGCGCTGGTTCAGGAAGGTGAAATGGCAGACATTCCTGTCCCCCTAGCATGACTAACAAAACGCGATGTGATAAAGCGATTTATCGACACTCAACTGTCAAACTCCATTGTAGTTTGACAGTTAATGTCGATAAATCGCTTTATCATATAGCATTTTGTTACTCATGCTACGGGGGCTGGGCGTCTCCTATTAAAGGAAGTAAACACCCAGTCGTACATAAGTGGTTCCAATCAGAAAAACCCAATTAGCTACCAAGAGACGTACTTTATAAGTTGTGATGAAAACAATCAAATAATTTTAGCGAACTCTAGTAGAGCAAGGCCACTCTCGCGGCCAGGCCAGTATTTTTAATTATTGCATTAGTAGTCACGGTATTAGCATATAAATAGAATACTAAAACTGATTTATTTTTGAATTAATATATAACATAAGTTAGTGTCAAGCAAGCAATTTCACAATAAATTATCAACTAACTAACAATTATTATCGCCAGACGTTAGTGACTCATATGTGTACTTACATTTTATTTTTTAAACATCTTGCATTTGAAAGACATGTCGTGACCTGTTGATTCATGTCATGAACTTGGCTGATCTAACTGTTTGTCGGTTAGATGCCCCTTGTATAAAATTGTATGGAGTGAAATAATTAGTGTAATTAAGCCTTGACATCCTAGTTTGTGAGTTGAAATGAGGGTCATGCAAAGAAATGGATTACCTAGCTTTTTTATAACAAAACACATGAGTCTATATAGTTGAAGTTTTATTATTTTAATTAAAATGTAATAGAAATAAATGGGTTCCCTTAGTAAGCCTGGTGAAAAACAAGATCGTAAAATTTAAAACCCTTACAAGTGGAAATGAAGACACGTTTTGTTCTCCTGTCCCTGTTTTAGTTTTTTTAAAGGAAGCTGGTTATTAACAGGTTTTCTGTCTGAATGACTGAGCTCAGATTCAACGAAAGGATCATAAATGAAACTCATATTTTGTTTTTTATGTGCTACGATAAGCAATAACTCAACATAAAACTCAAAGAAGAGTTAACAAATTTTAAAGAAGTTTGAATCAGAAGTACTTAACTAACTTTGGTTAGGTACTGTTTAATTTAAACTTTAAAAAAGTTGTGATGCTATACTAGTCACACAGTTAACAATCTTGAAATTAATAGCTGGTCATTATGAACGAAGCGAGCAAAACATAACATGGATATCTTCTCGTATAATAAACTCTTGTCTTCACACACCGGATATCCTCGACATATGTTTAGAGTAAACAAAAATGTACCTTTCTTCTTTTATAAGGCTACTGGTTTTGCTCAAAGGCTGAAATTGCGTGTCGAAAATTATGTAAAATACGACGGCTTTTTTCCTTTAAGAAAGGCAATTTCGGATAATATTTCTTATTGCCAGTATTTTGGGGAGGGCAACCGAAATATCAATTTATTATTATTTAAGTTGCCAATCACTTTATTTGTATTGTGTTTTTCTTCTTAAATAATTAAGATTTTAATGTAACTATATTTAAGTACTAGCCAAGAATATAAAATTTTACTTTTTGAATTTAATTGTGGTCATACTTTTTATACTGGATTATTGTGGGGCTTATTAAGACTAAATACGTAAAAAGGCTCATTATCATTTGATCTATTTTCGTTCATAAGAAAATTACCTACACAAGAACAATTTACTGCAACACCAGTCAAGAATCCATTTAGAATTCTGACATTATAAAATATAATATTATACATAATTTTCAATATCCATGAGTTCGATTATGTGAAGCTCAGCACTCATAAAATTAGTTGTTTTTTCCTAATAAGCACCTATATCGGGAGCTCGCGTTCTGGCAGGTTAACTACTGGTCAAATCACAGTTGATGATGAATGATTGCCGAGATTTCATTTAATGATGGACTCCCATCGCAGCTTCCAACCGACAAGATAAAACGACTGGCTCAAATGGTTTGAAGGTGTATTTTTTGCTATACTTTGTTATGTCTAACAAATGTATCCTAATGTTACGAAGATGTACAGTCAAGTGCTATGATTTGGGACAAGTGTTGCCCAAAATAGGTCTTGGTCTTGCAGTCTTAGTCTTGTTCTTGCATTTCCGCAAGACCAAAATGCCAACTTTTGGCATTCTTGATCACAGAAACCAAAACACGTTAATAATTTTG